AACCCAGAGGCGTCGGACTAGCACCGGCCCGGGAAGGGAGTGTCCACAACGCCGCGGGCAGGGAAGCACTCCAGCTGCTACAGGAAGCCTGGCAGAGGTTACAGCGACTGGGTCAGCAGGATGCGGTAGATCCGCGGGATGAACAGGAGTTTCTCGAAGAGGTCGTCCGTTTGCTCCCTGACCCCGAAGACTTCCAACCCGGAAGGATACGGCTACATGTTGCAGTGTGGCGAGCGTTCTTTCAGGCAGCTAACGAAGGCCGGCCCCTAACGGACAAACAGAAACAGTGGCTAGAATACCTGCGGGGCGGGATCCAGCTGGAGTGGGTGGCGTGCGACTACCCAGGGCAAGAACTAGCCCCGGAGCGGGGGCGCAAGCTAGCTATAGTGCGTGAAATGCTGCGGGTCGTGGCGCCGGATTGCGACCTAGACTTTATGATGGCGGGTGACCGGCCGCGGGCCGTGCAGTTTCCTAACCATCGCAGCGCGACTCAGTACCATGAGTTTGTTACAGCCGAATTGAGAAAGGCCCTGGACCGAGGAGTGATACGGGAATGGCCAGCCGACACGCCTCCCCCCACGGTAGTTAATGGCTTGCGGGTGGTGGAAAAAGACGGCAAGCTGCGACTCTGTATTAACCCGATGTACATTAACTGTTTCTTGAGGTACCGGCCTGTGAAGTACGAACGACTGGCAGATGTACCTAGCTACCTCCTACCGGAAGATTGGCTGTACACCACGGACCACAAGAGCGGGTACTGGCAGCTATCACTCCACGAACGGGAGCACACTTATCTGGCTATGCGGTGGCGGGGGCAGACGCTCTTTTGGCCACACCTGCCGTTCGGCCTGGCGCCGGCCTGCCACTTGTACACAAGCATGAAGCTCGAGGTTTTCCGGCCTTTACGGCAGCTAGGGGTCCGCATGTCTTTCCTGATAGACGACCAGATGGGTGCCGCGGGGTCGAAGGCCGCCGCACAGTTCCAGTGTGGGGCGGTGGTACGGCTGCTGGCAGCCCTGGGCTTCACCCTCAGTCTGTCCAAGTGCCAGCTGATCCCCAGAAGGCGAGTCCGTTTCTTGGGAATGGAGGTGGATGCGGAGGCGCAAGCATTCAGAGTACCGGACGACAAGCTAGCTAGATTCCGTGCGCTGCTTACACAGCTCGAAGGCGAGCGGCTAACGGCGCGGCAGGTGGCGCAGGTGGCCGGCAAAATCATCGCCATGACGCCCGCCGTCACCACGGCACCTCTGTATGCGCGGATGGTGTGGCGCGTAGCCCGGGGTGTGGCGTGGGACGAAGAGGTTTGGGACTCGGCGGAGGTGTTACGCCAGGCAGGCTTGTTCATGGAGCTGCTGGGCAGGCGCAACGGGACAGCCACTTGGCGGAAAGGACCAGCCCTACGACTGACGACGGAGCTAGTCGGGGACGCCTCGGACAGGGCCTTCGCAGCCTTCTTACCTGGGGAAGAACTGGGTGCCAACAGCCGCATGCTCGTGCCCTTCAAAGCCCAGGAAACCCAGCGGCTGCAGCGGAATGACTTTAGCAGCACAGAAAGAGAACTGCGGGCGCTGCGGTACAGCTTGCACTGGTTGCGAGAGCAGGCACCAAACCTGTTGTACGGCCGGACGGTGCAATACCAGACGGACAGCCAACCGGCGGAATTCTGCATGGTTGGAAGGAAAGGCAACGCCGCTTGCCTGCCCATAGTGGCGGAGATCCACCGCCTCTGCGCCGATACGGACACAGATATTTCAGTGGTGTGGTACCCACGCAGCCGGGAGCAGCAACAGCAGGCAGACGCGCTCAGCAAATACGAAGATGGATCACAGTGGATGCTGAACCCGACCGTCTACGCCAAGCTGTGGGAGCACCCCTGCGTTCACGGCCGCAGCCCGTCCCTGGACGTTTTCGCGGACGCGCACACCACGAAGGTGCCAGGTAGTTTCTTTGCGGCCAACTGGTGCCCGGGAGTCAAAGGAGTAGACGCTTTCGCCCAGGATTGGGGTTCACCGGGGTGGGGACGCCGGGACGGAGGGGAAACTGTTCGGCCCCTGCTGTACATTAACCCCCCGTTCAGTGCCGTGGCAAGAGTGCTGCGCAAGGTGGCGGAGGAGCGGCCCGATTGTGTACTGATCCTCCCGGTCTGGCCACGCGCATGGGTGGCTATCCTAAGGACGCTGCCCATCAGAGCACAGATGACCCTGGCCCACAGGGAGCTCTTCATCCCTGGACCACAAGTGCCCAACGCCGCAA